ACATCAGCAATGATATCCCTGGTTCCACATCCTCCTCTAAATTCGGCTTGCGTTTCTGGCAGTTCATTATGGATACGCTACTGCAATCATGCTCTGTAAAAGCAATATTAAGAGATTTATTGAAAGTCCAGGATGGTCTGGACCAGGAGATGTTTATATTCACAGAATGAAGATGGTCACTTCACTTTAAGACAAAGTAGGTGTCTTTTATCAAGATGGCATACTAAAGAGCACAAATTCTGAAGTTCTATGACTGACTCTAAATACATGCTGAACATTTATTTAACTGTTTAACTTCAGTGTTGTAATCTGTAATATTAGAATAATGTAGATGTTAGTAGACGTCAGTACACAGCCAATCTGATTAAAAAACTTGTACATGGTTAAAGCAATGATTGAATTGGGACTTGACCCCAATTCCATATATTTTCAATAATATAGCTTTTAATTTTCATTATCCTCATCAGAAATATAGATTATTACATTCTGAATAATCAGTTATAGTAATACCATAAATATCTCTCAGAGAAAATAAACTATAAACTCACCATTAGTGATATATACATGTATGTGTGTGTGTGTGTATGTGTACATGTATGTGTGTATACTGGTGGTAGTGGTGGTGGTTATGTGCCATGGAGTCAGTTCTGACTCACAGCAACCCTGCATAGGGTTTCTAAGGCTGTAAATCTTTACAGGAGCAGAAAGCATCATCTTTCTCCCACAGAACCGCTGGTAGTTTTGAACTGCTGACAATGAGTTTAGCAGCCCGACTCGTAACCACTACGCTACCAGAGTTCCTTGTGTGTATATTGTTGTTGTTGTTAACTACTGTCGTGTCGATTCTGACACATAGCGACCCCGTATAGGGTTTCCAAGGAGCAGCTGGTGAGCTTGAACCACTGACCTTGTAGTTCACACAGCTTTGCAGTCTGGCACATTAACGCACAGCGCCACACCAGGATGTGTAGATTAGAGTAAGTTAAAAAGTATTCCTACTGGAGTTCCAGTTTATACACAGTGACTTCCAAGGTGGTCTGCCGGGCCAGTTAAATTCAAGGTGGAGCAATCAGTTCAGAAGGTTATAATGACTTTTTTTTTTTTTTTTTAACTCCAAGGAGGTAATCGGGTTTTTTTCCCCCCTTAACTTTTTATTGTTAATTAAGTAAATATTTACAGAGCAGATCGGTTTTATATTTAACAAATCATATGCTCAATTTCATCTCAATTATTGCAATTCCTTCAGTGTAGCATCACTTTTTCCCTGGGTTTCCATTCCTCCTTCTTTCCCAGTCCTTCTGAACTTTGGACTTGGGTAAAAGTTACCCTTTTGAATTTAAATGTTTGACCACTCTATAGTGTGCATACATCACTAGGGGTGTTGTCTCCCAGCTCCCCCCTTTCCATATACCTATTTATTACTAGCCTGAAAATTTAGTTACAGGGGTGAGTTTAGTTCCATGCCTGAAGGGTGATCAATGGCCATAGTCTTGGGGTCTACCAGTCTCTGACCAGTAAGCCTGGTCTTTTTATGATTTTGAGTTTTGCTTCACGTTTTCTCCTACTCTATCCAGGACTTTCCCTATGGTCAATTTCAGTGCAGTTGGTAGTAATACCTGGAACCATCTAGTTTTTCTGTTCTTAGAGTTGTGAAGACTGATGCTCATGTGGTATATATTAGCCAATCGGACTAATTGTTTCCAAGCATCTTCAATTTTTCACCACTCTTCTTTCCTCTGAACAAGGAGAGACCAATATTTGTACCTTAGATGGTTGCTCATGAGCTTTTGAGAGCCCAGTCATTAGTCACTAAAGCAAGATTTCCTGGTAAAGTAGTAGATTACAAGCTAGGCTGCTAACCAAAAGGTCAGCAGTTTGAATCTACCAGTTGCCCTGCAGGAGAAAGATGAGACTTTGTGCTCCAGTAAAGATGTATCGCCTTGGAAACCCTATACAGGGTCACTGTGAGTTGGAACAGACTTGATGGCACACAATGTAGAACATGGTCTTTGTGTCAGTCACCTTGGTGTCTCTAATGGTGTTTAGTAATGTCTAAATTCTAAAAATGGTACTAGTTCCACCCACTTCCTGAGTCAATGTCCCTTATACAGATGAGAGGGATATTAGAAAATTCCACTCTCACCAAAGGAGGTGAAAGGAAGGGAGAGGGCGAGTGAAGGTGGGTAGCAAAAACCCTTTGACTCATAATGGGATTTATTAAAGATACAAGTACCAGGCCTCTATGCACTCACCAAAATGTAGCCTTTGCAAGTCTCTACCATGATTATCCAGAATATATAAATGGTTTCTGTCCCAATTCCTGATTCTCATTCTACTTCTCTCTAGGGTTGGAATAGTACCCTGAATCTCAGTGAACTTAACGAAATCAGTTACCTTGCCTATGCCAAGCTCCTCACACTGAAGAATGGACCATTAACTGTGGTTCTGCTTCAAATCAAAGACTTTTCCTCTCATATCATACTAACCTCAATTTAAAAACCAAGGAATGAAAGTTAGAGATTTCTTAAACTAACCACATCCATCCACATAGTTCTACCTGGGATGAAGCCATGCTTCCTCAAGCATTGTGGTCTGAATTTCTGCTACCCCTTTGATTTAGAGAAATAAGAAAAGGGCCAGGAGACTATGCTATCTCTGGAGCCAGGGGAGGAGAAGTTTTTAGGATAACAGCCAGTTTTCAATCCAAGAAATTGCTATAAAAAGATGAAGGAGAATGAGGATGGCTATGTGATCATTAGATGTGATAAAAGGTAGATCATGGTGACAATAGAGGGAACATGGTTTCCATAGTGCGTAAAATTTACATTTCAGGTGATTTTTTTTTTTTTTTTAAATAGCAGAGACATTCAGACAAGATTCAACCACCGTGAAATCTTTATTTAGCCTTGTCTTTGGGAACCAATTATAAAGAACATGCTCATAGAAGCTTTCTCTAAAGACACAACTCTTCATAGTTTCTCATTCCTTCCTACTTTCCCCATTCTTTTTCTCTTCCATCTTCCCTCTCTTTTCTTTTATGTATCCCACTTGCTGCTCTTCATTTAAACTATATTCCTAGTTTCTTTCAAATGGATACACATATTTTTTTAAAAAAATCAGTAGAATAATAAAATCTCAGAAAATAAAAGCACTTCAAGTACTTCCAAGACCAGAATGAAGAAAAGTGTAAGGAGGCTACTTCATCTCACCATTAGGAGATTTTGCCATAAGGCTGAGTATCTTAATAGATAATGGGGATGGAACTCTCTCCTACACAAAAACAAGAAAAATACAAAAACTGGCCCTTCTATACTCTGAGGCAACCAGGAGGTCAAACTTGGAAATACCAGACAGGAAAAGATACAGAGGAGTAGAGTGAAAGTCACTGTTATCAGAAAAGCTCTAGAGAAGAGATTAGGCAGACAACAACAACAGAATTCTCAAAAGAAAAAACAACTCCCTGGAAGAGAGTAAAAGGCACAGTATGCCCCATTAACGTCTTTCCTCTGATTGGAATGACTTTCTCCTTCTCTAACTAACTGGTCAGTTCCTTGGCAGTTTTCTAGACCCAGCTCAGATTATTTTCAGTTAATGATGCTTCCCTAAGAAGCTTTCCCTGGACAGAGTTCACTCCTCCATCCTCTATGCTCTGTTCACTACAAAATCAGCATTTGTTTCTAAGTCAGTGTGCTAGTCAGGATCTTTCTGACCTTTGTATTGCTAGAACCTCATGCAGTGCCTGGCACATAACCAAACCAAAACCTAGCTCACTGCCATAAGTGATTCTAACTCATACAGACCTTATTATATGTTGTTGTTGTTAGGTTCCATTGAGTTGGTACTAACTCATAGTGACCCTTTGCACAACAGAACGAAACACTGCTCAGTCTTGCGCCAACCTCACATGTATAGTAGCAATTAATAGTTGTGTGAAGAAAATGGAGAAGAAGAAACAAAAGAAGGAAGGAAAAGCAGGATGCAGGGAGGGAGGGAAGAAGCATTTGAGTCAACTTTCCATGACTTAGGAAAAAGAAACTCCAGAGGTGGAAGGGGAGAGTGATGATGAAGGTTGATTTTGAACAACTTTGTTTCAGATTCTCTTCCAACTTCTTTCTCTTCTATCTCTCTCAAAACTTGGGACTTCACACCACAATTGTTTCATTTGTACTCCTGATTCCTCAGTTCATCTCAAAGCGAAGGAAAAAAGCCAGGCAGGTTTCTGACTTCTTCTACTCCATCTCCTCAACCTAATATCTCTTTCTCACTGTGGGCACTTGCCCACTTCACCACTTATCTTCCTCACATACAATACTCCCTTCTTATCACACTGGAGGGCTCACAGGAATCTCAAACCCCTTTTCTGTATCCAGGTCCATAGAGGAACTTCTGCCTCAAACTGAAAACAGATACTCTTGGAGGCAGCATGTGTTGGCTTGGCTGAGGATACAATAGATTGAGACTACTGTAGCTGAGCAAGAATATTGTCAAAAGGGTTTAGACATTTCAGGACTGGAGAGTAGCAAGGGGGAACAAGCTGAAAGAGAAAAGAGCTGGACAAATTGAATTATTTCCCCCATCACTTCTCAGACTCTTTCATGGATAGACTTTTCACATTTTTTGCCTTGATTCATGGGTCCAAATTATGTTTCTGATTGTTCTCTCATTGCCCCTATAATCCCCATGTTTACAGGAGCTTCTTGACTATCTGCACAGCCAGATACACTTTCTTTCCAACAATTACATCAAAGCCCCTAAACTTGGGTGTAGTTGCTCCTGGGCCCCTTCTTACTCCGATATTCAGCTGCCTCCCGTTCCCTAACACCCTTTTCCCCAGGAATTCTGGAACTATCTGTTCCCCAGTGAAGATCATATACACAAAGGCAGCTTGTGAGCTCTAGATTCTCACCAAGTGAGAATAAAAAGACCTATCATGACTAAAGGCTTCTCTTCCCCTTCTCTCCCACCCCCTCATAGCCTGGGCTCTCTTCTCATGATGCCCTTTATGCCTTCCTCATCACCCTCCTCATGCTGATGCTCCCTCTTCACCCAGCAGGTTTGGTTTTGTGCAGGGTGGGACTCAGAGCTATCTTTTGCACGGTGGGCAGTGCCAGGATGCAGGCAGGCATCTCAGCCCGAGGCTTCGGCAGAGTTCCTAGGCAGAGCCATCGGCCCAGGCCAGGACAGTAGGCATGAATCAGGTGGGAGATGGCATAGGAACGGTGGCTGTAGCCTCCCAGTACTAGTAGCTCCCCTTGCAGTACGGCACTTGCAGCTCCCACATGGGGAGAGGGCAGAGGTGTAAGGTGAGTCCAGCTATCAGTCCTTGGTTCATAGGCCTCGAAGCTCAGCAAGTCCCCAGTCTCACCCAGCCCACCTGCTACATACAACCGTCCACCCAGAGCAGCCATGACATGGCCAGCCCGAGGTACCCCCATAGGGCTCAGGAACATCCCTGAATTCTCAAGTTTGGGATCATAGTGCAGCAACGTGGCCAGATATTGGCTATTTTCATTACAACCACCGCTCACATACAACTGACCCTCCAAAACAGCAGCGGCATGGGCAAAGCATGGTGCTGGAAGCTCAGGCGCAGGCCTAAGGGAGAACAGACACAGGATCAGGCAATTATCACTTCAATTCTCCTTCTATTATAAGTCCCCTGGACTACCCTCTAAGGAGCTCTGGTGGTATAGTGGGTTACACGTTGGGCTGCTAACTGCAAAATCAGAAGTTCAAATCCACCAGTGGCTCTGCGGGAGAAAGATGAGGCTTTCTGCTCCTAGAGAGATTTGCAGTCTATTTGATGAACTAGACTTTTGCCTATGAATGCAGTGACTCTAAATTCCAACCAGACTGGAAGGATTCTTCATATCAAGGAACAATCTTGTTTCCTCAATGTACTGGGTTGATAGGGATGAAAAATGTATACATTCATTGGCTATCAAAAATTAGGGGGCTATGGAGGTATGAAGTAGCTGGCTTATAAGTTTTCATGAGTGTACTTAGAAGCAGAATGAGGTGGGTAAGTAGAATACCCACTGAACAGTTTTCCTCTTTTTTAGATGCATCTGGTGAAACAGGATGGGGGACGATGATGATAGTATTTTGTGATTCAAATGTGAATTGTTAGCAGAATTAATTGGGATGGTCAAAACTGTAATTGTAGAAGATGTGTAATTAAACGGGGGGAGTAGTTAATCTTTCATTTCAAGAATAGACAATCCCAGGACCATCAAGAAGGAAGAGCATGAATGGAGCGTGAGATCCCTACCTAGAAAAGTGGAGACAGTAAAGACGGTGGCAGAGGTGGTGGCAAGGAGAGGCAGAGCAATTGCAGGCTCTAGGCCCATGGACTGAGAAAGGTTATGTGCCTGCAGGCAGGAGGCTGGCTAACAGAAGGTGCCCTTTGGACATTTGAAGGAATAAATATTTTTTGTTTTGTAAGTGTACATCAAATATTTTTGCCTTGTTCATTTGTGTACTATAAAATGCAAATGGGGAGCCATAGGGAGGAAGTAGGGTAAATACTGCAGGGATGGGATTGTAATAAAATATCAAAAAGTGAAGAAAAAAAAGTTTTACAGTCTCAGAAACCCTGTACAGAATCACTATGAGTCCAAATCGACTCAACAGCACAACCACCACAAGTTAATCTCTAGTATCTCAGGGACACCCCCTTCCCTGCTTACCTCCAAACATTGAGCTCAGGATTGTAAGTCTCCACAGAGTTGAGGGCAACACCATTGTTTCGCCCACCAAGGGCATAAAGTTGACCATCCAGTGTCACCAGGGGGAAAAAGCTGCGAGCCTGGCACAAAGGTGCCTTCTCCTCCCATTCTTCTTGGCTGGAATCCCATCTGAAAACAGTGGGCAAGAGATTAGAAGAATGATTCTGGGAGTATGCACTTGACGAGGTCAGCAACTTCCCTCATCTGCCCACCTTGGGGCCTGCCACATGCTATGCACTCGCTGGGACCCATACCTGAGAGTTGAAGCCAGGGTGTTGGAATGGCTATAGAAGTCCTGTCCTCCACACACATACAGTTCATTTCCTGAAATGCTTGAAGCCCCATGACGGAAGCGCCCAGGGGCAGGCAGGGTGGGCAGCCGCCCCCACTCCACAGTTCTCACCAGTCCCACTCCACAGCAGAAGGCCCGGGCCCACCACACTCCTCGGGTTGGCTTTCTTACAGCCATGTCTGATCTGAGCCCATCCCCACCAATCACCACCAGTGCCTGGTTAGGTTCCCTCCGTCTCCCCTGACCTGGAACCTCAGCCTCTACCAACAGCTGATGTAGTAAGTCCAGGGGCAGGAATGGGGGTAGTCCAGCCACCTGCACCCTCCGCAGCTCCCTGGTGGACATGCGGCCAAAGCGAACACATCGCAGCAAAGCTTTGGCCTCTGATTCCTGGGTCTCAGGGTTGGCAGCTAGCCAACGCCGTGCAGCCACAAAGGCCTCAAGCTCCTCCTGCACATGCAGCTCATCACTGTCTAGGAGCTCAGCTAGGTGGGCAGCTGGTAAAGAAGGGAAATTGGGGCACAAAGCCACAGCAGGTAGGTGGGTGAGGAGGTAGTGACGGGCTTTGCTCCAGAGTCTCTCCAACCCAGGGGCTCCAGCCATGGGGAACAGGGCCAGGCAACGGGCAGGGCTGAGGCCGTGTGCCAAGGCTCTCTGGCACAGAGCCAGGCAGGAAGTGCTCTGGTACTGCAGAGCAGCCTGGGCAGCTCGCAGCAGTCCTGGCCATCTTGCCCGCACAACCCCAGAGTAGGCAAAAGAGACAAGAAGCTGCAAGTCCTGAGCAGAGATGGTACGCAGAGACACTTTCCTGCCCTGGGATTCCTTCATCCCACTCAGGAGCATGGCCCCGAAGAACTCACTGCCACAGGCAAGGGCTGCTCGGTGCACTGCAGAAGGGGAGGAGAAGCAGAGGGGGACACAGAATGTTTGTTGCAAGGTTGCTAGACACCAACCCGACTACCCAATCCTAATTTTGGGGTCAACCACCTAAGGCTCTAGGCCAAACCATAGTGTGCATCAGAAAAACATGGGGTCCTTGTTACAATGCAGAGTTCAGAGATTCTGATTCAGCAGAGCTGGATGGAGACCCTAACAGTTTGTATTTCAACATTTTCAAGCACTCTGTGAGCCTGAGTATTAGCAGCGCCTCATTATTGAAAAGCATTGTTTTAGTCTCTTTGAAACAGACAAGTTAGAAAAAGAGTCTTGGTAGATTAAGTTGAGAAGGTGCTATATATAGACAGCCATTTTCTAAAGGGAAGCACAAAACAAACTAAGAGGACTAATGTACAATTTATATAAATCTTTCTTATCCTGCAGAGATTAACTTTTTTTCTTTATTCTAAGAGCCACTGCCATCCACCATCCTGTTAGTCAGATTTTACTCAGTGCATGGTACCACAAACAGGAATGATTGTAACCCAACCTCATTTGACTGTCATCTCTTCTTGCCCAAGATTTAGCCCTTAAGATTTTCCATATGACCCAGATTTCCTGTGTGCCCACTCCCATTTTAGAGTCATGAGATGTGAGTATGAAATAAGTCTGTTATGGATTGAATTGTGTCCTCTCAAAATATGTGTTGTAAATCATAACTCCTATACCTGTGATTGGAGTTCTGGTGTGGTGCTTTAGGATAAGTACTGGATGAAAACCACAAGGTTGGTAGTTCAACCAGCCTCTCCTTGGAAACCCTACACAGGGTTGCTATGAGTTGGAACCGGCTTAACGGCATATAACAACATATTTGTGTTTAGGAGTCCTGGTGGTGTAATGGGTTAAGCATTGGTCTGCTAACTAAAAGTTGGCAGTTTGAATCCACCAGCTACTCTGCTCCGAGGGAGAAAGATGAGGTTGTCTGCTTCTGTAAAGATTTTCAGCCTTGAAAACCCTCCGGAGAAGTTCTACTCTGTCCTATAGGGTCACTGTGGTTGTTGTTAAGTGCCATCTACTCAGTCCCAACTCGTAATGACTCTATATGGGGTTTCCAAGGAGTGGCTGGTGAGTTTGAACTGCCAACCTTGAAGTTCAAACTGACCTTTTGGTCCAGTGCTTATCCTACAATGCCACAACAGGTCTATGAATGGGAATTAACTGGAAGATAGTGAGTTTGGTTTTATACCTGTGGTTATAATCCCATTTGGGTGTGTTGTTCTTTGTCATGTTAATGAGGCATTATTAGTATAAGGTGTGTTTGAATCACTGACCTGCTGGTCCAAACTGACCTTGCAGTCCTATGTTTATTCTACAGCACCACATCAGGACTCAGTTTATTTAACCCTACTTAGCTTTTCTGGTGCCATTGCCCTACGATTCTGGCAAAACTGTACCTGATCTTGCTCATTCACGAAGGATCTACACTTAGGTGAAAGGACACACTGAGTTTTCCCACTAAGTTTTACTGGCTTTTCCTGTGTCCTGAATAGAGGATGCCAAGAAATGCCTTTGGTTAATCCCTGGTTCAGTCAATTACTTTCTGCTTGTTCTACTGCCATGGATTGTACCTTAGCTTCAGCCAGCTGGCTAGGAGTCCTTGTTGCCATACACAGAAGCCAGAGTGGGGGTCAGTTTAAATCTGTCCGAGCTCACAGGAAAACAACTCAACTGCGCATGCTCTGCTCTCAGTGGTTCACGAGAGGCACCAAAAGCCACCCCAGGGAAATTCAGATTGCATCAGGATTCAAAACCACTAATGAGGATCAAGCTTGCACACACCATTCTGGCAGTATATGCACCTACAGGAACGTAAAGCCCCACAGGTCCTCACCCCTCAGCCGGCAGCCTCCTGCCTCCAACTCCAAGTCACACCCGACGCCCTCTCGGTATAGGAGCTCAATACCACGCAAGTTCTCTCTCAGCTCCTCTGCCTGGTTGGGCTTCTTTGCATCTTCCCCGGTGCTGCCAGCCCCCTCCTCTCTCTGCTGGACCACAGCCTTCACCCTGGGCACTCCCAGGACTTGGGCTGCGTCCAGCACTTCCTGCAGCGGGACTGGGCCCAGCACGCCATCATAGGCGAAGGCCATCACTGCCTCCCAGCCCCTGGGGGTCACATTGAGGCTGAGAGGGGTTCGGGGACCTCCACTGCCCAGCAGCCTGTCTCGGAAGAGGCTGCTGATTGCTGCTAAGATCACCCGGTGCACTCGGTACAACCGCCCGGCAACCGACACCTCTTCGTCCAGTAACAGCCTCTGCTCCCGCAGTCGTCGAGCCTCGGAGAAGAACTGGCTCGGGTGCTCCTCGCTGCACAGCTCCTCCGGCTGAGCTGCGTCTTCATTGGCCTCATCCTCTTCATCCTGCTCCTCTTCCTCTAGGGACAAAACTGGAGAGGGAAGGTTCCCGGGGGCCAAGGACCTGTGGCCAGGCTCTTCCAGAGGAAAGGGGGGCAAGCTGGGATCTTCGTCTGGGGAAGGCGGCCAGGCGGGGGATCTTGGGGCAGGCAAAGGGATCCCAAGGTCGTCCTTCTGGACCAGAATGGAGGCGCGCCCCGGGTCCGAGAGACAGTGTGTGGGGCCCGAGAAGCTCATGGCCCTGGCTTGCTGGATTCAGGCAAGTGAGCAAAGACAAGAGAGGAGGAGGTCAGACAGGTCCCTGAGAATCCAGTTCCGAGTGAAATGCCAGTTCCTCCAGCTGCTACACACACACACCTGCCCATCCTCCCAAGGCGACATCCCGGACTATGGGAGTCACAAGGTGCAAGGAAGCATGCAAGCAGCATGTATAAAGATCCACTACTCGCCATCCACATCCCGCCTGTTCCCTCCCAAGGGACTAGTGTTTCTCCCGGCCCTCTCACTTGTGCTCCGGCTCTGCTTCGGTCAGCTCGGCAGAGGGAACTCACGCCCGCATCCTGGTTCAGAGCCCCTTTGGCTAATTATAGCCAGAGGTGGCTGGCTAGGGCTGGGTTCCCAGTGCCCGAATTCGGACACCCAATCCCTGAGCCTCGTCCCGGGATGACCCCACCTCTTTCCACCTGTAGGTCACGCCAAGGTGCTGAGCTAGGCAAACTAGGAAGCCAAGGAAAATAAGGGTATCGGGTGGTAAAACAAGGAAGGTCTATGTTCATCGGAGGGGACTGAAGGGCGAAGGATGGGCAGGAACGTGGGGCTGGAAGAGTGAAGCATGTGCTTTTGGTCAGTCCTGGACTTTCTGCAGATGATAAAACTGGAACCCTGGAGTGAACAATATCACTGTAAAGCACCCTGTCCATAGGGGACGCAGAGATAAAGGACTGGACTGGGGAGGTAAAGGGAAGCCCCTAGGTGACCTAGCCCCAGCATGGAGCTTCCTATACACAGAGGTGGGGTCAGTGGGGAGAAGCAACCCTGTGACTTCGATGAGTCTGGGGGAGTCTAACCCTGAGCCTGGCTCCCTGGTGGAACGTGGGGTAGACCTTTGTTTGCTACTAAGAGGAGAGTCTTGGTTTTGATGGACTGGGGATGGGATAGACATTACCCACTTGTGAATTTCCAGATCAGGTCCCCAACTGAAACCTCGAAAGTGGGGCAATCACTCTGTGTGTGCCGATTATGTGTGCCTTTTAAAGAGAGATTTGTGGAGTGGGGGTAGAATTGCCTTTTCATTCCCTCTCCCAAGGAGGGGTAAGACAGGCCAATGGCTGTTGGGGGCAAACTTCTTTGTCTACAAAGACTGGTCCAGGCTGGATAGATTGAATGGAAAAGCATGATTAAACCAGGCATCCTTGTCCCATGCAACTCAGGTGAGATGGGTCCGTATTCACTGAGGGGAAAGGCAATACAAACGTGTATTGCCCAGGGCAACACCCCTTCCACCTCCTGAAGATTCCCATTGCTGCCCAGTTGCTGCCTGGGTCCCCAGCCCATCGGAGGTTGAGTTCTAACAGTGTGCGCACTCAATCCAAAATCACACTCCCTAAAATGTTTTTTAGGGAAGAGAGTCAGCCAGTGGTTGTGTTGAATAGCCCAAAAATGCTCTTTATTTCTTGCAAGCACAGGTTTTCCCATCTGATGGATGTACCTCGTCCCCCCACTCAGACTGCCTGTATGCCCCCCATCACCCAATAAGACAATGAACCCAGTAACTTGAACCTCCACTAGGAGGAAGAACTCCATCAAGGAGCCCCTGGCCACCCCAGACTGCAAGGGTAAGGAGAGTGAGTGGCCCATAAGTTCTGCTGTTGCCAGACATTGTATTGTGTGACAGAAGTCAATAGACATACCAAGAGCAGAAGGCAAAATGTAATTGGATTTGTAACCAGTGAAGGTAGGGTAACAGTAAAATGCCAAGAGCTCCAAATCTTTATTGTAGGATTTGCAACAGCTGAGCTGGAGTTAAAAGCGCTGTCGAATCTGGTCTGACTCAAAGCAACCCTGTATGGGGTTTCCTTGCGACTAGTCCAGTGCTGATCCTACAGCGAATTTGTAAATTACCAAGTTAAAAAAGGCGGAAAAGGTTTTTATATACAAAGGCTAGGTGTTATAATTTAGTCACAAATTAATCTATTTTTGTCAGACTTTCTGTGCCAAGTAAACTGCGTAAACATTTTTCAGGGATCATGTCAGCATAACTTATCTGTTGTTTATCAAAAAGTTCTCACCTCACTGGGAGTTCAGAGCTGTGTACATGTGAGTCAGACCAATGTATGGCAGGGGCGGCTATGCCACTTTGGTGCCTGGATTCAGGCTGGCCTAGCTCCAAGCCTACAGAACTGAGTTACCATACCAGCATTGTTGTTAAGTGCCGTGGAGTCAGTTCCGACTCATGGCAACCCTGTATAGGGTTCCCAAGGAGTGGCTGGTGAGTCTGAACTGTCAACCCTGCAGTTCAAACCGACCTTATGGTCAGGTGCTTATTCTACAACAGTGTCACATCAGGATTCCACTATTAGTCCAGCAGAAATGGTCTTAATTAGCCACCCTGCCCCCAGCTGTCCTGTGGTCCTAACAGACACTGAAACCAGCTCCATCAAGGACATTCACAAACTACTTCCAGATTGACTGCCCAGAACATAGATAATATCTAGACCTATAGGAACTCCAACTAGGACCAGGAACTCTGCTGCCAGTCCTCCAACACCCACCTCATGAACACCTTGGCTGCCAGGAGCTCCCCAGAGTTTTCTCCCTTCCCGGTCCAACAGCTGCACTGTTTTTTTT